AAAACGACGACTTATTTTGGACTCTTTTTTTTTGTTTGTTTACTTGTTTGGTTTTTCCTTTTCGCTTATGGATATTAAAGATCGCCGCGAAGTGGCCCTTTAAGTTTCCTCGTCGGGCCTTTTTTTTTTTTGCCTCAGCGGCGGCTGTTACCGCACGTTATTTTTATAAATTCTTCTTCTCTTGTCCCCCCTTCCCCGCCTTGTTTTTTGCGTTTCTTGCGGGGTTTGTTTGTCTCGGCGGCGCCCGCGCCCGCAACCGCGGCAGAAGCTCTCCACAAATGCACCAGGGCGGCGCCCGGCGCGTCCTCGCCCCCCTCAAGCGGACCTCCGCCGACCCCGTCGGCGTGCCGCCGCCGCCGCCGCCGCCGAAGCTGCGGAGCTACAAGGATTTTATCAACCGCACCGTCTTCACGATTGCCATGGCCTACGTCTTCCTCGTGCTCATCTCGCTGGGGGTGGTGGTGGTCATCCCGCTCGTCATTGCCCTCCTGTGCACCATGTTCTACGAGATTACCCGAATAAACCAGCGCGTGCGGAAGGACCGGCAACTTGTCTCGATCCTGCCCCTGAAGCTCTGGTTCCTCGGCTCCACCCTGTTTTTGGTGACGGTTCACAGCATCCGTGACCCCATGTTGGCGACGTTCCCGTGGCTCGCGAAGTACTACGCCAACTTTGGCATGTTTGCGTTCGGCCTCCCCATGATTGGCATCGTCGGGTTTGTGCTGAGCCTGCGAAAAGGCATGTACCGCTACCAGTTCATCCAGTTCACCTGGATCGTGATGACGCTGCTGTTCATCGTCATACAGGGCGGGATTCAAATAAAGAACATGATGCGCGGCATGATCTGGTTCCTGCTCCCCGTAAGCTGCGTCGTGAACAACGACATCTGGGCCTACGCCTTCGGCAAATTCTTCGGGCGAACGATGCTCCTCGCGCTTTCACCGAAGAAGACGGTGGAGGGTTTTCTGGGTGCCTTTGTCTTCACAATGGCGTGGGCGTTTTGGTTTGCCGGCTTTCTTGGCTACTTCCCAGAGCTGTACTGCCCAAAGGTGGACTTTCACTCGCCGATGCACTGCGAGAAGGATCCGTTGTTTGTGCAGCGGGCGTTTGTCCTGCCGTCGTGCATTCAAAAGCTGACGGGAAACTACGTAAAGACTATCCAGTGCTCCAAGGCGCAGCAGCACGCCCTTGTGCTGGCGGCGTTTGCCTCCTTGCTGGCCCCCTTTGGCGGGTTCTTTGCCAGTGGGCTAAAGCGGGCATTTAAACTAAAGGATTTCGGCGACCTCATTCCCGGCCACGGTGGCATCACGGACCGCATGGACTGCCAGGGAATGATGGGGGTTTTTACCTATGTCTACCTAATGAGTTACGTATATTCCGACGCGAGGTGTCCTTCCCTACCTGACTTGAGCAGCTGCGTGCTGCGGTTGAGCGACGACGGGAAGTTGCGGCTGCTGCGCCTGTTGAACGAGTCCCTGACGAGAGGCGTGTAAAGCCACTGCAGGGGCGACTCACTACGCCCACGAAGGACGCTTTTGCAGGAGGCCGCGTGCGCGAACTTTGATTTCTCTCACAGGGGGACGGGCGGGGGGGATCCGTCGCTTGCGCCAGCAGCTATTCCTTTTACGTCGAAAACAAACAAACACAAATATATATATATATATCTATCTATATACTCTCTGCTGCTTTTTCCTTTCTATTGCTTCATTGTCCTCTTCGACACAAACACACACACACACACACACACACACAAACGCAATCAAGAAGGTCGTCTAAGAGTCATGGCGGAGGTTGCAGCTGCGAAGAAGGACAAGAAGGCCGCGCAGGAGGAGGTGGTGGTGCAGCAGACGGACCAGGCGCAGGTCGGCCTGATCATCAAGGTGCTTGGCCGCACCGGCTCGCGCGGCAACGTGACGCAGGTCCGCGTCCGCCTGATGGCCGAGGAGGGCTCGCCGGACGCCAACCGCACGATCGTGCGCAACGTCAAGGGACCGTGCAAGGAGGGCGACATGCTCTCGCTCATGGAGACGGAGCGCGAGGCCCGCCGCCTGCGTTAAGCTTCCTTTTTTGTATTCTTGTTGGACGCCTTTTATTTTTATTTACTTTATTGCATGACTGTTATTTCTCATTTCTAATGTGCCTCTCCGTTCCGCTGTTGTGGGACTGCTCCTTTCGCGTTGTCCCTTTTGCCTGCTGCGGGGGGTTTCTGTGGCCGGGGCCCTGGAGGCTCTCTTCTCCCGCTGCTTGGGTGTCACACTGGCCGCCTTTCTTTTCTTTTTTTTGTTTTCCTGCCCCCTCCCGCGCGGCTGGGTCGGTAGCTTTGTGCTAGTCATGGCGGAGGTTGCAGCTGCGAAGAAGGACAAGAAGGCCGCGCAGGAGGAGGTGGTGGTGCAGCAGACGGACCAGGCGCAGGTCGGCCTGATCATCAAGGTGCTTGGCCGCACCGGCTCGCGCGGCAACGTGACGCAGGTCCGCGTCCGCCTGATGGCCGAGGAGGGCTCGCCGGACGCCAACCGCACGATCGTGCGCAACGTCAAGGGACCGTGCAAGGAGGGCGACATGCTCTCGCTCATGGAGACGGAGCGCGAGGCCCGCCGCCTGCGTTAAGCAGCACAAGGGCATACCCATTCATGTTTTTGCCGCAACTGCGTTTTATTTCCTTTTTCTAAAACACGATGAGAGATGCTCCGGACATCATTCGCTCCCGCGCGGTGTCTCGCTCTCTCTCCCTGTGCGTGTATGCGCGACTTTGCTGGCGGGGTGCGCCCCTGCCGTTTCTCTCGCTGCGCCTGTCTGCCTTCGCCTTGTGGCGCGTGCGTGACATCCTCGCTGTTTTTTTTTCTCCTTCCTTGCGTCTTGCTTTGCCGTTTTGTTCTGGCGTTTCCTTTGGGTGTGTGTGTGTGTGTGCTGCCAGGGTGAATGGATGTGACGGTGGAGGCGCTTGCGCAGGCCCTCACCGTCCTGCAGCAGGCGACCGCGCTGGACCTGTCGGGGGAGGCGGCGGCGGCGGCGGCGATGTACGCGGCGGCGAAGAGCGCGCTGGACGCAGTGGCGCCGTACCTCCCGCGCGGGCACGCCGACGTCGTCCGCCGGCACGCGGAGGAGGTGCGGCGCCGCCTCGACGGCATCGGCCACGCCCGCCGGATGGAGGAGGGCAGAGGGGAGTTTCCGGCGTTCCCGCTGGAGTACGTGCCGCGGCCGGCCCCCGTGGAGGAGTTCCGGGTGCCCGCCAGCCCCACGCTGCGGGTGCTGTGGCTGATGCGCCTGCTGGAGCGCTCCATCCGGCAGGGCGCCTTCGTCGCCCCCGACCTCTACGTGGGGAAGGAGGTGTGGTACCAGCACGGCGGCGGCGCCGCGCTCGCGCACACGGGACCGAAGATCCGCTACCTGACCGCCCTTTGCGCGGCGCTGGAGCAGCTGCGGGCGGTGGCCAACCTCGACAACCTGGACGCCGTCGGCAAGGGCCTGCGCAGGTACGTCAAGACGTCAGAGGGGCTCACGACGGCGCTGGAGGAGGAGCTCGGCGTCCGCACCGACGGGGGGACCTCGCCGCGCTCAAAGCTCGAGCGGGGCGTGCGGGGCCTGTTCCACAAGGGGCAGCAGGTGCTCCGCACGTGGATGAATCAGGAGCCAAACATGGAGCTGTGCCTCATTTGGGCCGTCAACACACTCGAGCAGGCGCAACTGTTTGAGCGATGGGTTATGTACTACTCCCACCTGCGCCTTGCGCCGGCGGTGACGGAGATCCTGGGGCTCCTGCGTCGGGCGGTGGGGCTTCTGTACAGCGGCCCTTGCAGTTTTCTGCTGCGCGACATGGCGATCCTGGTTGAGCGGCACCAGGAGAAGTGCCGCAAGAGCACCACCCGCCTCCTTCCAGTGGAGATAAAGTTGGAGGACCCTACGGCTAGCTGAACACACATACACACACACAACGAAGTATTATTCTGTTTGTGTTTCCTCCTTCTCCTCCTTTTTTTTTCTTTGCTCTCCACCACCTGCCTTGGTTTGGCCGCTCCCTACACACTGTGCCCCCTCCTCTGACGTCAGATGTGCGTTGTGCCTGTACTCACCGTGCCCGTGGCCCGTGGCTTCCTCCCTGCGTTGGTGTATGTATGTGTGTGTCCGCTGCCCCTGCCCACCGTTCCGCGTTTCCGCCTCTAGCCTGCCCTTGTCCCGCCCCTTTCCCTCTTTTCTTTCCGCCCCGCAAGATGCAGAAGCAGCAGCTGACCTTGGATGCCGCCTACAAGTTCACGCTCTGGTACGCGCTGCTGTGCGAGGCCCAACGCGGGCAGGCGAGGCCGGCGGAGCGCCGCGCCCGCGACACGTGTGTGCGGCACATCGCCTCCGCGATGCTCAAGGCCTCGCTCCCGCGCAAGGCGCTGAAGAGCTGCTGCTTGTCCGGGGCCTGCGGTAGGAGCTCGCTGACCCACACCAGCGTTCACTTTGGGCGGCCCGACGTTTCCCCCGCGCCTGGTGAGCGCGATGATGTGTGCCAGTGCCTGGCACACGCCACGGCGTGCGTCGGGCGCCCGGTTCGTCTTGCGGTGACGGACTACGTCTCCTCAGCCTCGCTTACCGGGGACCGCTACGGCGGCTTGCGCTGCATGCTGCGCCACATGCCACTCCGCGGCGCCACATTTGCCGGCGTCCCGGGACTGCAGGACGCGCAGCACGTGGTGGCGGAGCTCGGCGCGGCGCTGCCGGCGCAGGCGGGGTCGCTCAGACGCCTCAGCGTGGGCGGCCTGCCAGCCCACGTCGCGCTCTCCGCCCTGCTGTCCAGCATGGCGGCGGTGGACTGCCTGACGGAGGTGCGCCTCGAGGACTGCGGCCTGCAGGAAGTTGGGGAGCTGCTCCCGTACCTGCGGGGGACACGGCACCTGCGACGGCTTTCGCTGCGCGGCAACCAGGGCATCGCGGAGGGGGCCGCCGCGCTGGGCGACGCCGTGGCCGCCTGCGCCTCCCTGCTCTCCCTCGACTTGGGCCTCTGTCGCCTGCGTGACGAGCATTTGCAGCGGTTTCTCAGTCGCCTGCAGGGGTTTGCGCGGCGGGCCGCCTTTGCGCTGGACGTGTCCAACAACGTCCTGAGCAGCCTCGCCTTTGAGCGCCTCCGCGACGCCCCCGCGGCGTTTCGGGCGGCCGTGAGCGAAGTGGACCTCAGCGGGCACAACCTGCAGGGCTGCGGGGGCGTTGCGGCCGCCATGCTCGCGGAGCTTACCGCGCTGCGCGGGATTCTGCTGAATCAGTGCGCCCTCGACCCGCGCGACGTGCAACGGCTGTGCCGCGTGCTTAGCCAGACAAAACGACGCTGGCGGCGCTTGTCGTTTCGCGGCAACGGCTTCACCGCCCACGACGTCAAGCGGCTGGTGCTCGTCTCACTTGCCGCGGAGTCGTCGCTCTGTGTGGCGGGCAACGCCATCGGCGCCGGTGTGCAGAAGCTGAACCTGCCCTCCGTGCTGCCCTTTTTGTGCGAGCTCGACCTCTCCCTCTGCGAGATCAGGGACGAGGGGCTGCTGCAGCTGGCCAGCGCCCTCGAAAAGGCGCAGCCCCTCGCCCTGCGGGTGCTGCGCCTGGACGGCAACGACATTGGCGTGGAGGGAAAGAAGGTGTGCGGGGGGCTGCAGTTTCTCGGGCGGGCCCTGCGGGCGAGCTACGCCCCACGCCTGGAGGTGCTCTCCCTCGCCCACAACAGGCTCCTGCTGCGGCCGCTGCTGACGCTGGTGGAGCAGGTCTCCGCCACACTGCGGGAGCTGCATGTCTCCCACTCCTCCATCGCCAACGACTACAGCGAGGTGATGCATCTTGTTGGGGCCATCGTTCGGCGCCAGAAAGGGAGCCTCGGGTTCGAGCAGCTCGACCTCTGGGCGTTCTGTGACGCCGACGCCGACGTCGCCTGCGGCGGCGAGCTGCGAGCGTGGCTCGAGGCGCAGCGGCCTATCCGGGTTTTCATGGGGGCGGGGTGAGGGGCTCCCTTTTCCTTCCCCTCTCGTTGCGAACTCTGTATACACGCACAGATGCATACAGACGCATATATATGTGTTTCTTGCCGTGTCCTCGTGCCTTGTACTGATACCCGCGAACAGTGTGTGCGTTCACTTCTCTCCGCGGCTTCTTCCTCTTACTTTTCCCCCGCTTCTTTCACTTTTTTTTCCCCGCCCAGTTGCATCCGGCGTTGTGCTCAGGCGTGGCCGTGCGGCGGGATGGAGTCGAGCGGGGAGCGGCGGGTGCCGGCCGCGGCGCTGCTGCGTGAGGAGCTGCGACTCGTGGAGGCCGTCATCGCGGGGCGCCGGCGCCGGCGCGTCTACCGGCACCACGTCTTCTTCCGCGCCCTCCTCGCGCTGCGCGCCGCGCTGGCGCAGGCGCTGCCGTCGTTTGCCCAACGCGCCCCCGCGCCGCAAAAGACGGTCACGCACCTCCTCGCGCGCGCCGTGCGGTGCGGGGAGGCGGCGGCGCTGGAGTTGAGTGCGGCCCGCGTCGACACCGTCGCCCTTGCGGCACTCCTGCTGGCGATCGCGGCACGCGTCGGGTGCCTCCTCGCGCCCCTCGCCGCGCGGGAGCGGGGCGCCTTCGCCGAGCTGCTCCCCCCGGCGGAGGACGATGGCGGGCCGCAACAGCGACGGGGCGTGCGGTTGCGCGTCGCAGCTCTGCCGCGAACCCGGCGGAAGCGCACACGATCGCCGGAGGGCGCCGTGGCACTGCGGCGGCCGACGATTGGGGGCATCATCGAGGCGGCGCTTCGCTGACTGCCCTTCTCTCTCTCTCTCTGTGCGCGTCTTGCCGCTGTTGTTGCGTATTCCTTCCCTGTGCTCTCCTCTCCTCTCCTCTCCCTGCCGCGCGCGTGCGTTTCATGCCCCCTCCTTTTTTTCATTTTTATTCCTTTTTATTCCTTTTTTTTTTTTCGCCTTCCCCCGCGCCGCTTGCGCCTGCGCCTCGCTCGCCCACCGCGGCGCCGCAGCAGCAAGTGAGAGCGAGCGCGCTTCTTCTGCAAAGCGGATGTCGTCGTCGTCGTCGCCGGCGCCGGTGGGCGGCCTCCGGCGGCGGGCCCCCAAGACCCTCAGGACGCGCCACGCCCTCCGCAAGTACGAGCCGAAGGTGGTGGAGAACCCGAAGCGCATCCTCTTCCTCCGCGGGGCGCGGACGAGCAGCGTGGTGAGCGAGGCCCTGACGGACCTCGCCGCCATCACGCAGCCGCACAACAAGAAGCTGCGGAAGCGCAACGCCTTCCACCCCTTCGAGAGCCGCGAGCACCTCGAGTTCCTCGGCTTCAAGAACGACTGCTCCCTCTTCTGCTTCGCGAGCGACAGCAAGAAGCGGCCGCACAACCTCGTGCTGGGCCGCCAGTTCGACTTCCACGTGCTCGACATGGTGGAGCTCGGCGTCGTCGCGGCCGACCGCCTCGACTTGGGGCGCGTGCGCGGGACGGAGGCGGCGGCGCTCGGCGGCAGGCCCCTCTTCGTCTTCGAGGGGAGCGAGTTCGCCGCGGACCCGGTGTTTGCGCGCCTCAAGAGCCTCCTCCTCGACTTCTTCCGCGGCGGCGGCGGCGGCGAGGCGGAGATCAACCTCGACGGCTGCGACCGTGTCTTGGCCTTCTCGCTGCGCTCCGACAACGGCGCGGACGCGTGCGTGGCGCCCTCGGCGGACTGCTACGGCAGCGGGCCGCAGCGGGAGCGCGGCAACACGGTGCTCTGCATGCGGCACTACGCCCTGCAGAAGCCCAGCACCGCCGCCGGCGTGCCCGCCGCGCTGAGCAGCAACGCGCAGCTGGTGGACATCGGCCCCAACTTCGACTTCGCCCTCCGCCGCGCCTCCTTCGCGACGCCGGCGGAGTTCAAGGCGGCCACCCGCGTGCCGCGCGCGGTGCTGGCGACGCAGCGCGCCACGGCTGCGAACGTCAGCGGCGACGCCCTCGGTAACCTCCGCGGCCAGCTGCACGTCGGCAGGCAGGACGTGGAGCAGCTGAACCTCCGCCGCTTCAAGGCGCACCGCAAGACGCAGCGCGAGGCGGCGGACGGCGAGGAGGCGCCGCGGAAGCGCCGCACCCGCCGCAGCAGCAGCGGCGCCGGCGCCGACGCCGAGGCGCGGCCCGAGACGGACATTTAAACCCTCGATTAAAACGGGGGAAAAGAAAAGGGCAGAGGAGGGAAGGGCGCGACGCCGCCGTTGGGCGAAGGGCGGCAGCAGACAACAAACAACAACGAGAAAAAAGTAAGGAAAATGATTGGTTGCTTTTGGCGCCGGATCTTCGCCGCCACGAGGGGCCCCAGACGCTGCCGCAGTGAACACTCCCGCGTAAAGAAAAAAAATGAACGACCAGAAAAGAGCATTAAGGAAAAAGAAGAAAATAGACTGAAATGGAAAAAAAAGTAATAAAACAAAACACCGACGCCGACGGCCGAGGCACGGCGCCCAATGGACACTCCTCAAAGCAGCGGAATTGTGGTAACTTTTTTTGTTGTTGTTTCTCTTTTTGTGCTCTTTCTGCCGCTTGCCCTGCCGCGCCCCGCTCCGCCACCCTGCGACTGCGCCTCTCCCCCGCCGCACACGAAGGGAGCGAGCATCACAGCGGAGGTAAAATTAGCAAACGCGAGGGGGGAGGAGGCGTGGAAAGGCACCCACCCACCCACACTTTCACACACACACACACACACACACACAGACACACACACAGACACAGAGGGAGAGGGAGGCATAGGTAGGTTTTTTTTTTGCGCACCGCGACGCCCCAATGCCGCCGCGTTTCCTCTCCGCCTTTCTTTTTGGCGGCGCGATGAACTTCCTCGTGGGGGGCTCCGCGTGCGCCGCGGGGGCCTACGCGAGCCCGTACCCGCAGAACTCCCGCAACTCGGTCGTCTACCTCGACACGGCGTTCCAGGCGGGGCGCGGCTGGTTTGGGACGGCCGCGACGACGCCGATAGGGCGCGTGGAGGTGGAGCTCTTCGACGACACGGTGCCCATCACGGCCCGCAACTTCCGTGAGCTCTGCCGCGGCTACGACAAGG